TAAAAAAAAAATGAATGAATAAATAAAAAATAAAATAAAATAATTATTAAAAAAAAAAAGAAGAAATTGGAGGCTTTATATTAGTTTCCTTTTGAGGGCTAGTCCCTTAGCCATAACTAAGTGCCACACAGGGGAAGCCAGATCCCACATGGCCAACAACAGTTTGAGTCTCGGCCACAGTGACTGGAAAATCACCTAGGTGCCCACACATGCTCAGGATCCGAACGGGATGTAGAACTGGACAAGAGGGGATCTCAGCAAGACCAGGCCCGTGGGGGACGCTCCTCCCTGCGTGTACACACATACCTTCTGACTTAAAAAAAAAGTCTCTGGAACATTACATTTACGTTTGTATGTATTTCTTCCGTAAGCGGGAGAGAGATAGGCAATGTCTTGATGAAATGTCTTGATGCTGCAGTCTACCTCCAGCCTCAGCCAGCCCCAGATTACGGGCACATGTGTGCCCAGCATGTTCAGGGATATCTCCAGAAGCAAACCTGGACCCTTCCAATGTGGGTTCCCTTGCAGAGTGTCATGCTACCGCGGCCCACCATCCGTCCCCTCTGCTGAGCGCTTTCGTGGCTTCGGCTTGGGCTCCAGGCTTTGCCCCTAGAGAACCGAGGTGACGCCTCCATGCCTCGGCTCTCTGTGCCTCTCCTTCAGTGCTACCTTGCCTTGGCCAAAGGCGGCTTATCTGATGACCACGTCCTCATCCTGCCCATCGGACACTACCAGTCGGTGGTGGAGCTTTCAACAGAGGTGGTGGAGGAGGTGGAGAAGTACAAGGCTACGTTGAGACGGTTCTTTAAGAGTCGAGGGAAACGATGTGTTCTGTTCGAGAGAAATTATAAGAGCCATCACCTCCAGCTCCAGGTAGGTGGTCTTTGCCCAGGAATGTGGAAGGACACCATCGGGACCCTGATATCAGTAAACCAATATTTGAATAACAGTTCACTTCATTTTTAACATTTAAATGATTTACTATGAATTCTCATGTTACTGTTTAAATAATGTTCATCTAAGAGGCGATAACCCCAGAGATTTTACAGGGAAGTGCCTGATTTGTACCAGTGAACAGTCCAGACCCGAAGAGAGTGGTTTAGGACGGGAATGGGTCACTGAGAAAAGCTCAGGAAGCCACGGCCGTGGCTAGATCAGTTTGGAAGGGTAGTATTTTGTGTGGAGGCCCAGCCTGAGGGAGGGCTCACAGCTCGACATTTGAGAATGTGTGTGGATAATTTGTTTGCAGTTGTGGTGGTTTTCTTTCTGGCGCATTTGTGAAGTTTTCAGATGGGCCTAACTCTACCACATATACGACGTCGGAGCTGGGAAGGGCTGGGTGGCAAACAGGACTCCCTGAAGCCTTTCCTGTAGCAGAGCTCGGCTCCCACAGGTGTCTCATAAGTTTAAGTCCTTACAGACAGGCTGACACCGGCCCGTCTGGCCTGAGGAGAGTCTGTGCTGAGGGGTGTTTCTCTGCCCCCGTGATGGATTTGCTGCTTCTCAGAGACAGTGGGCACAGCCTCTCTGGGACCTGTGCAGAGAACTTCTCTCCCCCCACCCCCTAGGTCATTCCTGTGCCACTCAGCTGCTGCGCCACTGGTGACATTAAAGATGCCTTCATCACCCAGGCACAGGAACAGCAGATAGAGCTGCTGGAGATCCCGGAGCACTCTGACATCAAGCAGGTGAGACAGGAGGGGCCGCAGATGGTCAGGGAGCAGGGCTTTTCGACACTTGAGTCTGAGGTACTGTCAAGGCATGCCAAAAATGTTAAAGCAACAGTGGACGGTTTGGAACTAGAACACAGGATAATGATTACCCCGGAGATGACAGTGGCATTACAGCCAGGTCTTAGTGCTTTCCAGGGAAGATTAGACATTTCCTAAGGTGGGAACGTGAAAGGAGGTTACTGATAGTGTTCTGCAGTTTGACTCCTGGTTGCTAGAGGGTGTGTGCACCCACCAGAGAGAAAGCACCCCTCCACCCAGGGGGATGGTCACGCTGCATTTCTTTCTCTATTCTCCTCTTGGGATTTTTGGGACACGTGCACATGTGGCTGGTGTGTTTTTGAAGCTACCGGGTGTGGGACTCAAACTGCTCAGTTAGCCACGTGGGATCCAGTCACCTTAACCACCATGCCACTGATGGCCACATTTTGACCGTTTAATTCTATTACCTCTGAGCAACGTAGAATCTAGCTACATATATATTGTTTTTCTTTACTTGTGACTGCGTTATTTGCCAAAGTAGAGCGTGATGGAGGCGAGCTAGAGTTAGACGTTTACTGAATGTTCTCTAACTCTGTAGATTGCGCAGCCAGGAGCAGCATATTTTTATGTGGAGCTCGACACAGGAGAGAAGCTTTTCCACAGAATTAAAAAGAATTTTCCTTTGCAGTTTGGAAGGTTTGTATTCTTTCTTTTCAATGTATTTTCACTAGACCTTGGTGGACAGTTGGTGAAAAGTCAAAGAGGAGACAGTGCTTGCCCCAAGGGACTTGTAGTTGTGGGCAGGTGAGATTTTTATACGTGTTCCAGCGATGTGGTTCAGAATGTGAAGGGTATTATGACAGAGTTTGGGGAACAATGAGCTTTAGACATTCAGTGACGGGAGCACTCATTTCTGCTTGGTGAAGTGCTTCACGTGAAGATTGAAGTTGAGGGCTAGCAGGTGGCATGATGGGTAGGGCTCTGAATTCCCACGTGACCGACTGAGGTTCAAGTACTGGACCTGGTAGCTTGATCAATCACAACAAATAAATAGATAAATAACCATTTTAAAAAAAAGTTGAAGTTGACCTTGAGTGAGAGATTAGAAAACGGATTGGAGTGAGGGAATTCCAGCCACAGGGCCTGAAGTGCGTCCCACTGACTGAGCCTGTGCCGTGTGCTGTCACTGCACACATTGCCTCATTTACCCTTCCCACTGTACGCGAGGCGCTGTCATCCCGAGGTACCAACGTGGAAGAGGAGGCTCAAGAGCAGTGCCTTTTAGCACTTCTCCCCGTGGTGGAAATGCCTTATACCTCAACACTGTCCAATACAGTGCTTGAGGAGTATGGCTAATGTGATTTGGGAACTAAATTTTTAATTTCATATAGTTGTTTTTTTTTTTTTTAAGAGTTTTTCTTCTTTTGCCTTAGGGCATATGCGCTTGCTGGAGAGACAGACACATACAGTGAGAGGGAATGTGAGAAATACTCCCCAAGGAGAATGGTCATGCTGCAATCCCTTCTCCTCCTGGGACCTTGGGCATGCACGCACATATGCCTGGTGTGATTTTCAAACCACTGGGTCTGGGACTTGAACTATAGTTGGCCATGTGTGAGTCCAGTGCTGTAACTGCTATGCTATCCGTTGGTCCCAATTTCATATAGGTTTTTTTTTTTTTCTTTGAGAGGTTTATTTTGCTATAGGGCATGTGCACTGGCCAGAAAGACAGAGACAGACAGAGAGACAGAAAACGAGAAATCACCCCAAGTGGGGGATGGCCACGCTGCAACCCCTTCTCCTCTATTCTCCTCTTGGGATCTTGGACATGCACGCACACATACCCAGTGTGAGTTTAAGCCACCGGGTCTGGGACTCAAACCTCGGTCGATTACATGGGAGTCCAGCAACACAGTCATTACGTCAACTGCTGGTCCCAATTTCATACAGTTTCAGTTGATTAGAATTTGAAATTAAATACCTGCCTGACTCTACCACCTGGTCCTGAGACTGTACGTTTTGACTTCTTCATGTTCTTCGTGCAGGGAGGTCCTGGCCAGTGAAGCCATTCTTAATATTCCTGACAAGTCTGACTGGAGGCAGTGTCACATCAGCAAGGAAGAGGAGGAGACCTTGGCTCGCCGCTTCCGGAAAGACTTTGAGCCTTTTGACTTCACTGGAGATGACTAAGCAAAGGGAATGACACTGGATGAACTTCACAGGAAGCAGTAGCAGCCTGTTTTTAAAGAAACGACGGTCTAGCACAGTTTTCCTGCCTCTTTTTTTGGGGTGTGCATTCCCATGGAACTTGCCTACAGAAGGAGGCCTAGGATTGATTATTTTTTGGGAAAGTCATTCTAGGGTAAAAATCCTATGTTAGAAGCATGTCTGTCATCCAGTTCCTAGAACAACTTGTGTTTATCAACATTTTCAAAATATCAAATAAAACACAATTGCTTTTTCATGGTTCAAAAGTGTCGTATGTTCATGCTGCCTATGACCATTGAAAAGAGACAGCGTGTGTAGTTGGAGAAGCCAGAGCTTTAGGCCCATCCGTTATTCCAGAATCACAGAGTGGTTTCTCCCTGAGATGGAGAAGGGCTCAAGGCCTTTGTAATTTTTCTAGTAGATTCACCTTATTTTTATGTAAGAGCCCATTTCAGTCCAGATATTCTACTCCTGTGTACCAGATGCTGGTTTAGGTTCCAGGAATATAGTCATGTCCCAGCATGGTCTCTGCTATCCCAGAGTTTACCATCTAAATAGGAAGAGGAGCGGCAGATTTAAGAAAAGATGAGTTTTACTTTGGACGTGTTTTAGATGCTTGCAGGATGTAATGGATGTGTCCAATGTACTGTTGGATAATTCTAAGGGTATAGGTCATAGATGAAATGGTGAGAATAGATGAAAATAAAATAGCATGAATGCAGTCCTGAGCTGAAGATCTCCTGAGAAATACCAGTATTTAAGGAGTGGTTGGAAATAGAGACCTAGTAAGTACACAGAGGAGCAGAGAGGTTCCTAGTAGAATGTTGTACCTTAGGAGCTAAAAGAAAAAGAATTACTCCTAGATTTTGAACATTTAGGAGATACCATTTAACTTAATCCTCATAAATCTCTGTGGTATTATGTCTACTTTACACTTGAAAAACAGACTTGCGAACCTCGAGTTTGCAAAGCCTTGGGATCAACCAGCATAGGATTTTAAAAAATTAACTAGACGGGGCCGGCAGGTAACTTGGTGGTTAAGGGCGCTGGACTCCCACATGGCCGATCATGGTTCAAGTTCCAGATTTGGTGGCTTGCTTTCTCTGTTTGTCTCTCTCTTGCTCTGTCCTTCTCTGGTCAAATTAAAATAAATAAATAAAGTTAAATAAAAAATAATTCTTTGAGGAAAAAAATGAACTATGCATCTTGGGGACATTTCAGAAATGAACTATAGGACCTAACCTGTTTTCCCTAAAGATGGTCAGCCCCATCTGTAGCCTCAGGTCCTCAGAATCCCTCCTTAGCCCTTCCAAGTGAGAATTACAAGATTGCAGGCCCATCTGTGAAGGCTGGACACACTATCTAGCACTGGCTATGCTGTACACACAGCAATGGAGAAGCTTTCCCACTGTTCTAACATTTTTTGTGCAGTCTGCCTAGCTCTAAAAGATGTGTTCTCAGAGGCACTATTTGCTGTCACCTCCAGATGTGATAGTCTAACTCATACTGCGCACATACGGAAACGCAAATCTGTACACACATCACTGATGACCAACATCCACTCGGCCAGTAACGCGGAGCACTCAACATTCTCTTGGCACTGACACCTTAAGAGAATCCCACACTGACTCATAGGAGTCATTGAGATCTCCAGGTTTCATAAAGCCAATGACCTACTCAGATGGAAAACTGGGAGCTGGTTCTCCCATGCCAAAGAAATCCTATACCAGAGCACTTCTTTTTGCCTCATCCACATTCTGGAAGCTTACTTTGCAGCCTGTGGCATGCAGCACAAGGCATGGATCAAAATGAATTTCCACATGTATAGCTAAATACTGCCTCCACAAACCTGGCTGGACTGCCAGACAGTAGGCCCCATGAGGCATTTAGGAGAAAGGTCCTGAAGTCCAGAGGGCCGTTTCTTTACACAGGGCATTTGGGATTGCAGCGTGGTGGAAATCCCGGGACAGTATAGGAAGTGTTTAGCCAACTATGAAGTCATCAGTGAGCCTATTACGCAGGATTCTCTGCAGTTCTGCAGATTGCACACATTTTAAATTAGTAGCTTTTGCCATTACAGGTTCAGCTGGTGGTTGGGCTGGAGGGTAGTTGGCAGGGACCTTATGGAAGTGTGAGTGTAGACTGCTGAAAACGATACACTTTAGAAAAGACAATACTGGAGAGGTTGGTTTGGAAAGTGATTTGAAGGGAATTTAGGTTTGGTGATCTTACATTTTTGAAGACTAGAAAAACACATGTGAGTCCAAGACTACCAAAACACATGAGGGGGCCGACAGATAGCGTGGTGGTTAGGACTGCTGGACTCCCACATGGCTGACCGCGGTTCGAGTCCTGGGCCTGGCAGCTTGCTTTCTCACTTTCCTTCTCTGTCTCTCTGGTTAACTTCAATAAAATAAAATAATGACAAGTAATTAAATTAGATGAAATAATTCTTAAAAAACACACACACATCAGAATCCTCCCAGCCAAGAAAATGTCCCCGGGAATTAAGATAGCAGATTGGAAGCGCCCTGCAGGTGTCCTCGCTGTTGCGCCCGCTCCAGCAGCACTCCGGGAGGGCTGGGGCGGGGCCTTTTCTGCGGCAGTTACCGGAAGTGACGTAACGTCTACATCTCGCGAGAAGAAAGACGCGCGAGCCTCGGCGGCCCGGAACCGGCCTTGGAACAGCGGAGGATCCTGAGGCCGCTCGCCCTCCCGCCCCATGGAGCGGCCCCCGGGGCTGCGGCCGGGCGCGGGCGGGCCCTGGGAGCTGCGGGAGCGGCTGGGGCAAGGGCGGGGGTGGGGGGTTCAAGAGAATATGGACTTTAAGCATGAAGATAAAGTGAGCTAAAATCACAAGCAAGGTGGGCAGGGAGCTGAGTGAGATTGTCGGTGAGACCGCGGGCAGTCTTTGTGGCCAGGGAGCCCGTGTGTGTGAGAGGGAGAGAGGCGGGCAGGCCGGCCGACAGACATCCTGGGTCCGAGGTTGTCTCTGAGGTCCTGCGGCAGCGTGGTGAGAAGCTGTTGGGGGGACTTGGGCGTCAGTGTCAGGTGTAAACAGGGGTTTGGTGAGCGTGGCAGTGCGTCCAAGTTTCTTTGTGAACGGAGAGTGTCAGAGTGTGTGTGTGTGTGTGTGTGTGTGTGTGTGTGTGTGAGCACGAATGGGTGAGAACGTGGGGCTGAGGGGTGCTGTCTGTTGGAATGTATGTATGTCCGTCCCTGTGTGTGTGAGCCTGGAGGTCGGGTGACATGCGTGGGGACTGGAGTCGGCGAGGACGGCTTCATGGTTGGCCCACAGTTAGATTTTGGAAGCATAGAATTGGGGATGCGTTCCATTATGAGGATAAACGGGTGAAAATGATCGTGGTTTCGCTGGAAGGAGGTAGATTGGAGGTGGGGAGCTCTGGCAGGTGGAAGACAGCTCACATAGACTCAGGAACTTCGATTTGATTGACAATTTTTAACTACTGTAGTAGTAGTTTAATAGTCATGTTTTATGTCTTTTTTATTTTTAATTTTGGAGAGGTTTTTGCTATAGGGCATGAGCGCTGGCCAGAAAGACAGAGAGAGAAACAGAGAGACAGAAAGCAAGAAATCACCCCCCAGGGGTGGATGGCCCTGGGGATCCCGGTGTGAGTTTAAACCACCAGGTCCAGGACTCGAACCGCGGTCGACTACATGGGAGTCCAGCGACATAGCCATTACGCCAACTGCTGGCCTCAAACCATATATCTTTTGATATACTTATGAAAGCTAGGAACGCTTTCTCCAGAAAAATGTACAGATGCACATTCACACAACTTATGCATTGCCATATGAGTTCATGCTATATTTTTCAGTTAAATAATTATTTTATTTAACTATATTTATTTTAATTTGACCAGAGAGGGACAGAATGAGAGAGGCCAGAGCGGGGGGGGGAGGGGGTGAGAAAACAAGCCTCCGGGTCCAGTACTCAAACTGTGGTGGGCCATGTGGGAATCCAGCATCCTCAACTACTGTGCCACCTGCCAGTGGAATTCATGCTTTCTTAACGGACAGGTTAGGTGAATAGACCCTAAACTAGTAATCCCTACTGTGAAGCCTTTGTTTTGTTATCTGTAAAGTAGGTATAATAGTGTATGTAAGTTTTCGATGTGTTTGAGAATTAAATAAGATAATATGTAAAACTATAATACCTGGCCTGTGAAAATCCTCAAATGTTAGCTCCTGGGCTCCAGCTACTGCTGTGTTCATAATCCTCATCATCATTAATTGGCTTTTAAAAAGGAAATGTCAGGGACCAGCACATAATGGTTATGTCACTGGACTCTCACATAAGGGACTGTGGTTTGAATCCATCCTGGCTGCTTAAGTTCAAGTGACGGGTGTGTGCTTGCGAGCCCAAGATCCCAGGAGTAGAATGGAGGAGAAGGGATTGCAGGGTGGCCATCCCCTGGGGCTGATTTCTTGCTTTCTATTTCCATGTCTCTGTCTTTCCGGTGAGTGCACATGCCCTATAGCAAAAATATCTCTGAAAAAAAAAATGTCAAGATAAAAGTGGCATTTTAGGAAAATTACTTACTTTTTGCATCAGTGAAAGTATTCATAAGGTGATATGGAAGCATGGCAGAGAAACTAACAAACTTTTCCTAGGGAATAGGATAGCACTTTTCAAAGTTTTTTTTTTTTTTTTTTGGAAAAAAACAAACAAAAACCCCCCAAACAAAGTATATTTTGGGGGCTGAAGGGTGGCACAGCATTAAAATGCATCACTCACTGAGACTGACCCACATGACAAGACTCTGGGTTTGTGCACAGACCTTCATAAGTGAACAGGCTACATGCATGGCCATGATCCAGGGCTGTTTGATGGGGTGTAGATTGCAGCATCAAAACCCTGTTGGGGCTGCAGTTCTTCTGTCTCTCACTGTTTCTTTCGTTCTCTCTTGCTTGCTCATGGAATAATTAAAATTTAAAAATTATTTATTATTTATTTATTGTAATATGACCAGAGAGGGAGAGAGAGGGGGCTGGGGAGAAAGCAAGCCACTCAGTCCAGGACTGGAACTGCCGTTGACCATGTGGGAGCCCAGCATCCTTAAACACCACACCACTTGCCAGCCCCTAAATAAATAAAAATTTTTGAAAGTATGCTTAGAAAATCAAATCCCGTGGAAAAAGGGTACCATTGTTGAATATATTGTCTAAATGCAGCATATAATATTCCTTTATTTATAAATACATATTGAGATCTGTGAAAAGTAAAGAAACTAATTTTTTAAAATTATATAATAATTATTTAATTTTATTTATTCATTCATTTATTTTCATTTAACCAGAGAAAGACACACAGAGAGAAGGAAAGTGAGAAAGCAAGCCACCAGGTCTGGGACTCAAACCGTAGTTGGCCATGTGGGAGTATCCAGAGCCTTAACAATGTCACTTGCTGGCCCCTATTTTTTTTTTTAATATAGATATTTTTATTGTAGGGTGTGTGCAATTGCTTGACCAGATGAGAGAGCATGAAAGTGAAAAACCACCCCTCGTGGAGATGACCACACTGCAGTCCCTTTTCTATTCTCTAACCCTTTCCCCATTCTTCTAGGATTTTTTGCACGTGCATGCATATGCAACCAGCATGAGTTTCAAGCCTCCGGGTCCAGGACTCAAACCATGGTCAGCCATGTGGGAATCTAGCACCTTAACTGCTATGCCACCTGCTTGCCCCATAAAACTAATTTTTAACTTCTTATTTCCCAATTTAAAATTTTATAGAACATACATAAAATTTACCATTTTAACCATTTTTAGATGTATGGTTCTGTGGCATTAAGTACATTGACTTTGTTGTAGAACCATAACCACTGTTCATTTCTAGACTATTACAATATTTTAAATGCCAAACTTTTTTTTTTTTAGTTTTGCTATAGGGTGTATGTCCTCATTGGAGAGAGAAACAATGACAGACAGAGAGAGAAAGCACCCTTTCAGGGGTGATGGCCATGCCACAGCCCCTTCTCCATCCTCTTGGGATTTAGGCATGCATGCTATGAGCCTGATGTGTTTTTCAGGCTGCCTTGAACTCAGAACCATGCAGTTGGCCACATAGGAGCCAGCCACCTTCATCAACATGCCACTAGCTGGCCCAACACAATTTTTTTGCTGAACATCTATAAACTTTCCACAGAACATTTTTTGTTCCAGGTAGAATTTTAGAGTGATGAAATATAAACTGAGGAGTTAAGGATCTTAGCAAGTGGGATCTTTTTGAAATAGGTAACTTCCCATCTTATTCATATGAGAATTTAGAGCTTAAGTTTGTTCATGGTTGTGTCAGATTGTCTCCATGGTAGTAAAAGCTTACATAGGAAATGGGGCCAGCAGGTGGCATAGTGTTTAGGTGCTGGACTCCCACATGGCCGATCATGGTTTGCATCCTGGACACAGCAGCTTGAATATCATGACAGACACATATGTGCGTATGTCCAAAATCCCAGGAGGAGAATGGAGGAAATGGGATTGCAGGGTGGCCATTCCCCTGGGAGTTGATTTCTCATTTTTCTTCTCACTGCTTCTCTGGTGAGCACACACGCCCTATGGCAAAAACCTTAAAAAACAAAGCTTACACAGGACATACCTATAACCAGGTACCTGCTCATAACCAAAGAAAACTTGGCGGGCCTGAAGCCTGTGGTCAGTCTAGTTCATAGTCTGTCCTCGCTCCTTCTTTGTCTGTCAACTGTCATAACTAACTTATTTCTCCTTTCTACCCCTCCAGCTCCCAATTCAGACTATTCCATTCAAGCTGTGTCTTACTTGCCCACCTATAATTTTGTTTTCCTTTCCAGTCCCTGGGATCTTCTTTCCTTATTCATATACAGACTTTACTACACCACTAATTTGTGTCAGAGATCACACATTTTGGAAGTTCTTTTGACCTTCCCATAGTATCAGAACAGTATATTCTGGTTGGTACTGACTGTTGTTTTTGGGCTGCATTATTATATTTCTAGAATATGATGAGGTCTGGCTACTTTCTGTAATGTGCAGGGTAAGATTAATTTCAATCATAATTGGCTAAGTTGCTAGTCAGAAGCAAGAGCTGTTAGGTTTATTTTATTGATATGGAAACAGAAGTACAGTGATGTCACTTAATGGCAGTAGTATGTTCTGAGAATTGTGTTAATAGGTGGTTTCATTGTGGCATTAAGTACATCACTTTGTTGAACAACCATCACCACCGTCCATCTTCAGAACTTTTTCATCTCCTCAGACTGAAACTCTATACGCATTAGATAGTAGCTCCTTATTTCCCTCTGTCCCCAACTCCTGTAACACCGTTCTATTTTCTGTCTCAGTGGAAGTCTTTTTTTTTTTTTTTTTTTTTTGCTGTAGGGCACATGTGCTCTCTGGAGAGAGACAGTGAGAGGGAAAATGAGAAATCACGCCCCAGGAAGTGCTGGCCACACCGCAGTCCTCTTCCCTCCGTTTTCCTCCTGGAATTTTGAGCATGCGTGCACATACACTGCTGTAATTTTCAAGCCATTGAGTCCAGCACTCAGTCCATGGTCAGCCACGTGAGAGTCCAGCACTTTAACCACCACGCTACCCTGCTAGCTCAGGAATTCATCATTTTTAAAATCTTTTCGATTCGTGTTCCTCTAGAGTCTTAGAAATCTCTCAGCAACGTTCCAGGTGCAGCATGCTCTTCCCCAATGTAGATCATTTGACAAATAGGCCTGTAATGAGGAGAGAAGAAATACTCTATAATAAGACCTGGAAACAGCATCATTTCTTTTCTAAGACTGATTTAGCATTTGCATTTATATTTTTCAAGATCTTCATGTTATGGAGGAAGCCATGTACCAATATTTCACTTACATTTCTCAAAGCACTTGGAGAAGTAAAAAGGATGTGATATGATTTAGTTAGCTGATTATTGTGCTGGATGCTGACTACCAAAACCAACAAGAACAGTATTCTCTGCCCTCAAGAAGATCCCACATCTAGTGGAAATGAAGTGTAGTGCGATCATCACAGATTGTATTTACCCCAACCTGGTGGGGGGCCTGTTGTGCTCTTAGGGCACCAACATCATCATGTACATGGTCTGTCGTTAAAACGTCATTATGAAGTGCATGACTGTATAGCCAGTACTAGTGAGTGTTTTTTTTTTTTTTCTCATGTCATTTGAAATGCAGAGATTAGGATCTAATTGTGGAGTTTTTTTTTTGTTTTGTTTTGTTTTTTTAACTAGATTTGGTGTTATTTAAAACTATTCCTTGACATTTTGAGGCCAGGGATCCCTGAATTATTCTCTTCATTTTAGATATGCTAAAGATTGGGGCATTTGTTAGTTGTTCTGATTAATCTCTGCAAGGAGTTTGCTGAGGAGACAATCTTTGTAATATTTTTTTTAAGAGATTTTTGCTATAGGGCACATTTGCTCACCAGAGAGAGAGAGAGAGAGAGAGAGAGAGAAAGTGAAAATCACTCTCCCCTCACCCCCCGGGGATGGCCACACTGCAGTCCCTTCTTGTCCATTCTCCTTTGGGGATTTTATGCATGCACATACACCCAGTGTGGGAACCAGCAGTTAGCGTAATGGCTATGTCGTTGGACTCCCACGTAATCAACCGCGGTTGGAGTCCTGAACCCAGTGGCTTAAAACTCACACCGGGCGCGTGTGCGTGCGTGCCCAAGATCCCGAGAGGAGAATGGAGGAGAAGAGATTGGAGCGTGACCATCCCCCCTGGAGGGTGATTTCTCACTTTCTGTCTCTCTGTCTCTCTCTGTCTGTCTGGCGAGCGCACGCACCCTATAACGAAAACCTTTCCAAAAAAAAAAAAAAAAGAAAGTCAGTTTTAAAGCATTGGTTTAATAGTTAATAGTCTCATGATTTATGTAGCAAAAGTGTTGGCTCAAGAGACTAGTGGATAAATGTGTTTAATTAACAAAGCTAAAAAAAGTTTCATTTTCCTAGGTTGACATTTCTTTAATAGCAAATAAATCTACACAAGAACTTAATTTATTTTTCTGTTGATTTTCTGTGTTGGCAGGAACTTGATCGCAAAATAGCAATTAAATCTTGTCGCCTAGAACTAAGTACAAAAAACAGAGAAAGATGGTGCCACGAGATCCAGATCATGAAGAAGTAAGTGTATTTCCCAGTTCTAAAGCCTAGCCAGATGTCATCCTAGTGAAAGAGGCTCGGAATCTATTCTTCTCAGGATATTGTGAAGACATAGTCCTCTCTCCCATTAAATATATATGCTCCATTTCAAATAATAGCATCACATTATGATTACAACGTTTAATTTTTTAAAAATCAGCTAGGGATTATCAGTCTCAGCTATCTGGAGACACAGTTTATTTCATTCTGGCTCATGGGCGGCACTCTCCTGTTATACTTTCTAATTAAACAACAGGTGCGACTCTCATTTCTTTTGTACCTACGTTTGTTAAATAGTGTATCTGTTGCTTTGTAAGAAAATTGCCCCAAAATTTGGTGACTGAAAACCACAAAAATTTAGTATCTCAGAATTTTCTTGGTTTAGGAATTTGGGAGTGGGTGGTTCGAGCTCATGGTCTGTCCTGAGACATCGTAAGTTGTTCAGTGGACCTGTAATCATCCAAAGGCTTGACTAGGCCTGGAGTATTTGCATCTAAGCTCATTTATATGGCTTTTGGCAACAGTTCCTTACCATGTGGATCTTTTCATAGAGAAACTTGAATGTCTTCATGATAAGGTAACTAACTTTCCCCACAGAGGGTGATCTCAGAGAGCAAGCAAGATTAAAACTGACATATCTTTTACGATCTTTTCTTGGAAGTTACATTCCATTTTTTCTGCAATGTTCTTTTCATTAGTAATGACTCACTACATATAGCTTATACAGAAGGAGAGGAGAATTAACCTCTTAAATTGAGAAGAGGATATATTTTAAAACTTCTGCAGGTGTTAAGTGCTTTAAAGCAGTGATCCCCAACCTTCCCAGCACTAGGGACTGGTCTCGTGGAAGACAATCTCTGCACAGATGGAAAGTGGTGTGGTGTTGGTCCTGGGATAACCTACGCATACCATATCCACCGTGTACCCCATTTCCACCACTTGTGCATTTCAGTGTATGATGAAACAACCACACATTCGAGTTTGAGCTCCCATGAGAATCCAATCCTGCTGCTGATCTGACAGGAGGCCAAGCCCAGGCAGCAGTGTGAGTGATGGGGATCAGCTGCAAACATAGACAAAGCCTCCACTCACTCACCCACCTGCTGCCCATCACCCACTGCATGGGTGGGTTGGGTGGGGTGGCTGGCAGGTCAGGGACAGCACTGGTTTGTAGTAAGAGAGTTGGGTAGCCCTGCTTTACAGGGCCCAGCCTCAGTGGTTATAGATAGTAATGCACTGAACTGCAGTGCTGGAAGACACATGGCTGGCCAGAGGTTTGGGTCCCTGGCTAGTTGACCTGATGTATAGCCAAGAATTTGACAAGCTGGAGAGCTGGAGGAAGGGGACTGCAATGTGATGAAATCCTGTTGGATTTCTGTCTTTCTTTTTCTCGAGTGTGTATACATACTCTATTGTGAATAAAATAAATAAAACTTTAAAAAAGTATTTTATAGATCATTCTTACAGCCATCTCAGCAACCCTGTATTTAGTTATTATCCCTATTGTAGACGAGGAAGTTCAAGCTCATAGAGTCACATAGCTAGTAGTTTTGGTAGTCTGGGTTTGAGCACTGACTACATTGTTTATGCTCTGTTTACTTTAATGATTCTCAAACTTGGCTATGTGGTAGACATATTAGGAAAGCTTGGGGCGAGCAGTTGGCGTAATGGCTATGTTGCTGGACTCCTATGTAGTTGACCACGGTTCAGGTCTCAGACCCAGTGGCTTAAACTCACGCTGAGCATGTGTGCGTGCGTGCCCAAGATCCTGAGAGGGGAATGAATGGAGGAGAAGGGATTGCAGCATGGCCATCCCCCTTGGGGGGTGATTTCTTGCTTTCTGTTGCTCTGTCTCTCTCTTTCTGGCAAGCACTTTCACCCTTTAGCAAAAACTTCTCAAAAAAAAAAAAAAAAAAGAAAAGAAAAGAAAGAAAGCAATATATAATGTGACTTTGTATTTGTGCATAGAATAAAAACTGGAGAGAACTATGCCCAAATTTTAAGTCTTTACCTCTAGGTGACATTGTGAGTGAATATGGGAGAGAGGATGATATTGGCTTTGGAACCAGACTGCCTGAATCAAATCTTGACTACCTACTTGCTGTGTGATCTCATATTACTTAGCTGATTTGTTCTTCAGTTTTCTACTGTGTGATGAAACTATTAATAAGTCTACCTCTAAGATTATTAAGACAAATAAACAAGTTAATATATGTAAAATATTTGCTGCTTGGCACATAGATGTGTAATAGTGATGGTATTTTAAAGTATGTTTTTCTTTTAAAATGATTAATTTTAACTACTCAAATTAGAAATTAGAATATTACAAATAATACCAGTCTTCTTTCCTCAGCTCTCTCTGTCCTCCTAATTAACTACCATTTCAAATCCAGCCCCTTTTCATTGGGAAATTTTTTTTTGATTATAATGTTTTCCTCTTGTTAGGTTGAATCATGACAATGTTGTAAAGGCCTGTGATGTTCCTGAGGAATTGAATTTTTTGATTAATGATGTGCCTCTTCTAGCAATGGAATACTGTTCTGGAGGAGATCTCCGGAAGGTAGCGTGGATGCTTTGAGAAGATGACATAGTAGATCATGAATGTTAACAGTGTTTGAACCACATCCTGTGTGATAATCTAAAATAAGGGTCAAAAACTGTGTTTTATAAAGTTTTATTGGAACACATGCCATGCCCATTTCTTTGTCTTTCCTTACAGCTGCAGATTTGAGTAGTTGTGACAGAGAGACCACACGGTTTGCTAAGCCTAAAGTTTCTTTTCTTCAGATTTTTGCTATAGTGTGTATGCTCCTTGGAGAGAAAGAAAAGGAAAGCAAGAAATTACCCACCAGAGGGAATGACCACACCACAGTCCCCTGCCCTCCACTTCCCTCCCAGGATTTTGGGCACACAGGCACACGTACCCAGTGTGCTTATCAAGCCTCCAGGTCTGGGACTTGAACTATGCAATGGTCCATTGTGATCTAGTACCTTAACCACCATGCCACCTGCTGGCCCTGAGCCTAAAGTTTTTAATATCTGGCCCTTTATAGAAAACATTTGCTGATTTCCAATTTAGAACATGCATTTTTATTGTTGTTAGCAAAATGGGCCTGTACTGACAGTGTTAAATTAAAATAATACTACTAAGTATATTAATAAATAGCATTGGATAGCCATAAAAAGTTTTCTCTGTTAGAATTTTTTCCCTCATTTTGAATATGATCATATCACTTTTGTTCTTTTTTTTTTTTTTAAGAGGTTTTTGCTATGGGGCGTGTGCGCTCACCAGACAGACAGAGAGACAGACAGAAAGCGAGAAATCACCCCCCAGGGGGGATGGCCACACCGCAATCCCTTCTCCTCCATTCTCCTCTCGGGATCTTGGGCACGCACGCACATGCACCCGGCGTGAGTTTTAAGCCATCGAGTCCGGGACATGAACCCTGGTCAGCTACATGGGAGTCCAGCGACATAGCCATTACGTTAACTGCTGGTCCCACTTTTGTTCTTGTTGTTGTTGTTGTGGTTGTGGTTTTCTTTTTTTTTGGGGGGGGGGGGGTTTTGGGGGCATGTACTTGCTAGAGAGAGACAGAGAAGGAAAAGTGAGAAATCACTCCCCAAGAGGAGGGTGGCCATGCCACAGTCCCCTCTCCTTCATTCTCCTCTCAGGATTTTGGGAATGCACACACATGTGCCTGGCATGATTTTCAAGCCCCCATGGTCAGGGACTCAAACCTTGGTTGTTCATATAGGAGTTCAGCTCCTTAACCACCATGCCACTTGCTGGCCCCATATGGCTACTTTTATATACTGTGTATCTGAGATTGCTAACTTTTTCCAATTTCAAATACTTACTTGAGTATGTATTTAGTAATTTTTTTCTTTTTTTTTAATCATGACTTATATTCTCATATTAGTATTCTCTTAATGTGTAGTGATTAGTATGTGTCTCTATTGTTGCCCAGCAAATTGTAGTATACATTTTTAGATATTTTTTTCTTTTTTAGCTACTCAACAAACCAGAAAATTGTTGTGGACTTAAAGAAAGCCAGATACTTTCTTTACTAAGTGATATAGGTATGTAATCAGTGTTAAGATACCTTTATAGTTTACCGTTACTTTGGTTCATAAAAATTCTGTAAACTGCTTGGAAGTTTAGAGTTATTCATATACTGTACAAAGTATATTTTTAACATCTATTAGAAATTACTATCAAAATCTAGCTATTACTATTGATGCCAAAATAAAGCTAGGATATTTTGTTGTTTACTTCTTATTTTTGGCTAGCATTCCTTTGTCAACTAGAAGTTCCAATTGCTGACAAAAAATGGTGTGAAATGACTTCATTCATTTGACACAGTAGTTCTGTTTACAGTGGATTTGTATCTTGGGAGAATAATTTCTTTTTAAATATATTTATTTAATTCCTTTTGTTTTTTTTGTTTTCATTTTTAGAGAGATTTTTGCTGTAGGGCATGTACACTCACCAGAGATAGCAAGCAAGAAGTCACCCTCTAGGGGGGGATGGGCACATTACAATTTCTTCTCCTTCATTCTTTCCTCAGGATTTTGGGCACATATGCACACATGCCCAACATGAGTTTTAAGCTGCCAAGTGGGGACTTGAACCATGATCAACTATGTGGGAGTTCAAACTGTAACTCACCCAGCGTGAGTTTTAAGTAGCTGAGTCCCAGGACTCAAACCACAGTCAACTATGTGTGAGTCCAGTGACATAACTACCAAGTCATCTGCTGGTCCCGAGAAATCTTTAAAATAACCAGTACCTAGGTCTTGGGAAGAAGCTCAAAAGTCATGGCTTTGTGTCCATGTATATTTCAGTATTGCTTCTTTTTCTGGGTGATGGGGGCCACAGTAGTTGAAGAGGGAGATTTAGGTAGGAGGAAAAGGCTACAAAGGGGTCTAGGGTTTTTTTCCATTGGTTTTCCCATTTCTTTGTAATGTTAATTTTAACAAGTGAAATGAGAAAATATTGTAATCCTGCAATATTTGTTTACTTTTACTATATTTTCTGGAAGAAAATCTGAAGTACTGTAGTTTATTAGTTGTATGGTTGTGATTCATATAACTCTGAGTATAAAAACAGATGAATTCAAAATGTAAATGGAGTATTATTTACTTAAGTGGTTTTTTTTTTTTTTTGGAGAGGTTTTTGTTATAGGGCACATGCGCTCGCCAGACAGACAGAGAGAGACAGAGAGACAGACAGGAAGCGAGAAATCACCCCCCCAGGGGAGATGACCACGCCGCAATCCCTTCTCCTCCATTCTCCTCTCGGGATCTTGGGCACGCACGCACATGTGCCCGGTGTGTGTTTAAGCCACCGGGTCTGGGACTCGAACTACAGTCGACTACGTGGGAGTCCAGCGACATAGCCATTACGCTAACTGCTGGTCACTTAAGTGTCATTTTTTTTTTAAGAATTATTTTTTAATTTAACTTTATTTATTTATTTAAATTAGATCAGAGAGGGACAGAGCAAGAGTGAGAGAATGAGAGGGGGTGGGGGTGGGAGTGAGAAAGCAAGCTGCCAGGTCTGGGACCCGAACTGTGATCAGCCATGTGGGAGTTCAGCGCTCGCTCTTAATCACCACACCACCTGCCAGCCCCTATGTAAGCGTTTTCTATTCAAAATATGTTTTCAATTTTATTTAGGGTCTGGAATTCGATATTTACATGAAAACAAAATTATACATCGAGATCTAAAACCTGAAAACATAGTTCTTCAGGATGTTGGTGGGAAGGTAGGTGAAACCTGAAGAAATGTCCCATGCCTATTGAATGCAGTGTTCCTGATTAGTCAGTCTTTGAGCTTTGGTGTCCTTGCTGTGTGCCCGTGGTACTCTATACCTTTTCTATTTCAGTCCTCTGCACTGAACTGCAGTTCCGTATTTAGTTTTTGTTTCCTCTGCTGAACAGTGGCTCTGTTAGAGAAGGAACTGCACCTGTCTTGCTCACATCTGTTTTTCCAAACAGTATCTAGCAGAGATAGGCAGTGAGTACATCATATCTAACCGTTACTAACGTTATGAAGAATTCTTACCCACACATCCTGGGTTCACCTTACTTTAATGGAAAAAAAAGTATGTGATTGTCTAAACTCATTCTCTTTCCTCCACATCCTAAGTTCTATATTTAATTAAAATTTAAAACCTTGATTTCTCAGTTTCTAAATGAGCCATCTTGAGAAAAAACAGAAATTGTGTCATGACTCCTAAAGCCTTCATTTTCATCAGGATGATTTGATTAGTTTTCTTATTTCTAGCATCTATTCTTTCTATTCCGATTTAAAGTTGAGTCTGAATCTTGTGTTGGATTATGTGCTGTCTCTTTGGTTAATCAGATGGAAGTGATGGACCCTTTATGAGGCTGCTTCTTTTAGAAACTGTTGATGTATGCTTGGCACCAGTTATGTCTGCTTTTTTTATATCCAAAGACTTAGGGATTTTTTGAGGTTAGATAGGTGTTTACTCATATATAATCTACTCTAAAGCAATGTGCTTTGTGCTTCAAGTTCGGAAGTCACCCTTAACTTTGTCTTCCACTTTAATGGATCGAGTTTATTCTGAATATACCAAAATAAAACGTAATAGCCTGTCTATATTTAAATTTTGCCATCTAACAGGCTCTATGTTACATTTTTGCTTTCACTATTTCATTGAGTACTAATAACAGTTCTGTGAGATAGGGACTGTTAATAATCCCATATATAGGAAACTGAGAAAAGTAAGTTAACTTGATCAAATTCACATGGCTAGATAGTGATAGAGCTCAGACTTGAAACAAGTTATTCATGTTATTCCAGGGCCCAAGTTCTTATGACCACCCGCTCTACAGCTTTATGAAAAGTTGCCTTTTCTTTTCAGATATCACAACCATTTAATACTTACTCTGTCTTATTCTTTGGCAGATAACTCATAAAATAATCGATCTGGGTTATGCCAAAGATGTTGATCAAGGAAGTTTGTGTACATCTTTTGTGGGAACACTGCAGTATCTGGTGAGATGTGTATTGTTTCTTTGAATTTAAGTGGATAAGATTCTCATTCTTACTTCTGAAGCTCATAAATATATAGTAGATGTTCAAAAATAAAGCAGCCTTTCCCTTTACAGTGTTGGCATTTAAAACATTTTCTTTTTATAAGGCTCCAGAGCTCTTTGAGAATAAGCCTTACACAGCCACTGTTGATTATTGGAGCTTTGGGACCATGGTGTTTGAATGTATTGCTGGATATAGACCTTTTTTGCATCATCTACAGCCATTTACCTGGTAAGAAATGGACAAGAGTTTTGGCATGCTTAATGGAATGGAATTTTTTTTTTTTAGTTGTCTGCTTTTCTTCCTTTTTAATAACGTAACTATCTTTTAAGCATGCATTTGAATAGAATTAAATAGCAAGAAATCTTAAAAGTGTTTGTGAGAATCAGACTGTCAACAGAGGTAACTTTTGTTTTTACAGGCATGAGAAGATTAAGAAGAAGGATCCAAAGTGTATATTTGCATGTGAAGAGATGACAGGAGAAGTTCGGTTTAGTAGCCATTTACCTCAACCAAATAGCCTTTGCAGGTAAGTGCTGTTTGCTTAAGAAAGTTTGCCTCAGTTTCACCAGGGCTGTAAAAGAACAGTAGAGTAGTTGTCTGTTGAAATTAGTGCTAGCCAGTAGAACTTCCTGGGATGAGACTGCTCGCTTTCTGTGTTGTCAGCACGAGGCTGTTGAGCATTGGTAAGGTAGCGAGTGTGACAGAGGAACAGTTGTAAACAGCCACTTGTGACTGTTTAAGGTACTGGACAGCACAGGTCTAGCAGTACTGTGTTGGCGGAAGTGCCAAGAGGACTCTTGGGATAGTGAAGTAAACGGGTTCCTTGGAGAAAGGAATTGGACTCATCTGTTGGAATTGGCAGTGACTAACTTACCTATGTGGGTTTTGGGGTTGTTTTTTATGAAAAAGTATTGTTCCTATCATTTCATTAATTATTCAAAAGTTAAGATATAAAATAGTGTAGTGATGAGAAAGGAAATATATAACAAAATGACCTTTTTAACACAACTAAAGGAAAACTGGAACATAATGATTTTCGCTCTATTTTGTACATTTTCTAGTTTCATAGTGGAACCCATGGAAAACTGGCTACAGTTGATGCTGAATTGGGACCCTCAGCAGAGAGGGGGACCTGTGGATCTTACTTTGAAGCAGCCAAGATGTTTTCTATTAATGGATCACATTCTGAATTTGAAGGTTAGTTTTAATGGGGTCTACTTCAGAAAATCTGTATTGAAGTTATTAATAAGTTTATTTGGAATGTAAGCATAAGTATTTTTTAATAATCTTTTCCAAGTGTGGTTTTTTTTTTTAAATCCTTAGTGTTAAAAGTTTTTTGTTTTGTTTTGTTTGTTTTGTTTTGTTTTGGGCTAGAGGACATGTACACTTGCTAGAGAGACAGGGCAGTGAGAAAGCACGCCCTATGTTGAATGGCCCCCCACAATCTGTGTATCCATTC